TCACAAACTGCATGCCAGCAGTACTAGAAGAACCGGAAGAAGAAGCAGAAGGAGCAGCAGCAGCAACAATATCAACAGGAGAAAAAGAATGAACAGTGAAATGACGAGTCATTGTTGGTGGAGGACACCCAACACACATAATATCACCTGATCGCACACTATGGGCAGTGTTCAAGATGGTTTCTGCAGAGGTTGCCATGAAACCACCAACAGAGAGAGGAGTGTTATCCTCCACTACACGCAACTTATGTGGCTCCACAACAGTAGATATTGGAATACAAAAAAGAAGAAGAATAGAGAACAAGACAGGGTTTTATGCATATCTTATAATAACGTCAGACACACACAACCACCGACACCAGCAGCAAGAGCGGTATCAGTTAACAGAGCTCTGTCATCCTCGTTATCAATAGCGTCATTCTTCTTGGTGTTCACCTCAGTTGAATTCACAGGTCTACAAAGGGAGTGTTAAAAAGTGAAAGAAGAAGGAAGAGGAAGAGACACGCATATTAAGTGGATGCAGAAATAGTAAACCACGAAACAAACCCACAAAGCAAAAATAAAAACCCACCAGATAAAAAATCAAATACAGCGCAATAACCTCATTAAGAGTAAAAAACAAAAAAAAGCCCACACTCAGAAACATCTCAAAAAAGAATCAATGCCCCAGCAATCCATAAGCAAACAAAACATTAATCATTAGCCCAACTCAACCAGGAAACACACAGAAATACACACCAACTATGGGTATAATTCTATATGTGTATATATACGCAATTATAAATATAAATTCATCTTTTATTATTATTTCATTTTCCCACTACAAAAAGCAGTTCATTATCATCATCACAGTGCAAGCCCAAACACACACACACAATGGAGTAGCAATAATAATAATTATAGGATAAACACATAGAGAGCAAAAAACACACAAAACACATTAAGAAAAAAAAGAAGAATATCCCAACAGGTAGAAGATTAGTTAGACTGTGGGGATGCATGCAAAAAAAGAAAACAAAGGATGACCTGATTCACACCACCATCACCACACAATCACAACCAGCACACAAGAATACAGGCAAGTGTAACCACAATCAATAGTGCCACACGCACCCACACAGAACTGATCATACTGCTGCTGTCTGCATCACCCTTCTTGTTATTTGTGGATTCAGGAGGAAGTGTTGTGGTAGTGGTGGTGGTTGATTCTTCATTAGTATTGGGTGTATTGGTAGTGTCAGAGGTCGTTGTTGACTGTTTGTTCCCTGTCCCTTGTGACTCATCAGTGTTGGGTGCAACTTGTGAATCATGAGAGGTTGCACCTTCTCCTTCTTGTTCTTGCAGTGGTGATGTGTTCTCGTGTGGACTACTATGGTCGTCACCATCAGGTGCAGATTCTGAGACTATTGGGTTCTCTCCATTTGCTTGTGTGGATTCAGATGTGGCCTCACCTGACTGTTGTCTATCAGAAACAGGAGAAGGTGGAGGGGGATGCTCTTCTGTTGGTTTTGTAATCCGTCCTTTTGCAGACTCAGGGGAACTAAGAGGGTTATTTTGTCCTAGAGTACCTGATGGGGTACCTTCTGCTTTTAAGGTTTGCTCAACAACCTGAATTCCTGTTCTACCTTTATTTTCAGAATCACCCGTTACCTTTGTGTGATCACTTTGGGATACTTCTTGCTCTTGATGCGAATTCGTAGTGACATGTTTACCTCCTTGTACACCAGGATCACCATGTGTAATGTTAGCTTGTGTGGGTGAATGCCGTATTGTGGGTTCAGAAGCCTTAATAGCAATACGGGCCTCTTCGCAAGAAGCAGTCTTAACAAAAAAAGGAGGAACTCCAACATAAGCAACACAATTACTGGACTCAGAAGCTTTAGGACTATCAGCCCGTACTAACCCACAAGCATAACAGAGTGCAAGGGTTAGTAAACAGAGCAGGTAGCACCTCACCATTACAGCCATTGTCATTGTTGTTGTTTACTTCAATAGACTAATACAATGGAAGATGAAGGAAGAGAGAGAAAGAGAAACACATAGTGAGTGGATGCAGGACACAAATACTCACAGTGGAAAGGAGAGAAGCAACAACTCCACAGTAAAGCAAGAAAAAGGAATAGACCGCTTGTATGATAATAATATGTATCCAATAATAGAAAAAAGAAAAGACCCCCCAATACCCAAATAAGAGAGAGCCAAACACATACACAATACTCCATGGCTCTAGTTTATGTATATTAAATTACTCCACACACACATCTGTGTGTACTAGCAAGAGATGTATACCGTCAGTGAGCAGAACAGCCCAGTTTTCTGCAACCACACAACGGAAAAAGCAAGTAATGGAATTATTAGAAAAAGTACACACACGCACACAAGAGTAAAAGAAAAAAATCATAATTAAAAGAGAAAGCTGGTAAACAGATTATTAATTCATTCACCCATGGGGGATGTACGCAGTTATGGTTGTGTTAGGATTACCATTATTATTAGTTGTTCTCAGATGAGTCCCACCGTTCAGTACACGGTAGCGAAGACCAACACAGCCACAATCAACAGAGGTGCTGCAGTGCGCATCCACACAGGACTGATACTGCTGTCAACATTAGCCTTCTTCTGTGCGGTGGAAGCGATATTGTTGATATCTGCGTTGGGTACAGGAACAGGAGATGGAGTAGTGGTTGGAGCTTCTGTGGTAGTGTTGTCGGTGTTAGGCAGAGTAGTCGAATTGGTTTCGTGTGAGTCTGTGCCAGAAGTAGAATTAGGTGCACTCGTACCTGAAACTTGAGATTGGTTGGTGCTGTCCGGAGACTCAGTTGAGACACCAAGTGTATCATTATCAGTTGTTGATGTACTCCCTTCTGTTACTTGATTTTCTGTGTTGAGAGAAGAATTAATTGTAGCAGCGTCTTGAGCAGAATCACTTGATTTTGCACCTGATTCTGGGGCACCGTTTTCTGTTGTCACTCTAGTTGAAGTAGGCGATATGGTGGTGGGTAGTGTTTGCTCACGTAGAGAACCTTCTTCCGGACGTGTTGCGTTTTGTTCTGCATTCACCACCACTTGTGGTACCTCAGGTACTTTAGCAGGAGGAACTTCAGGTTTTGTCACACATGACTTACGATCATCAGAAAGTACAGTACCATTAGTGCAATGAGGAGTTTCTTCTAGGGCGACAGGAGTACCTTGAAGAAGAATCTTTGTCTCACTCTCCGTATCAGGGACTTGGTCGGAAAGATCGGCATCAGGTTGTTTTACTCCTTCATGATCCCTACTTCTCTCATCAACTTGTTCTTGTAATGGAGATGTTTCTAGATTAGTAGAGTGTGTGTGTTGTGTATGAGTCACTTCCTGTGTCGGCAGAACTGGTGCTTGGTGCCCACCCTGAGCTTCTCTCGCAGAAGGCCCACTGCTGGAACCAGAGGAAGAACTTCCATCAGAGGATGAGCCAGATCCAGCCCTATCATACAAGAGAGCTGTAAAGACATTACCATCACCTTTAGGAGGACAATGACCTTCAGAAGTATCAGAAGAACAGTCCGACAAATTCTTTATCTCTCCAGGTTCGTTCGTAAACGCGTTAGCTTCCATGCAGAGAGAGGCAACACTCAGCAGGAATACCAGCAAACACACAACGGGTCGCATCATCATGGCAATAGTAATTCTTGTTTGCTTTTACGTCACTTTGTTAAAGAAAAAGAGAACAGAGAAATAAAAATAAAAAAGATCCCACACAATAGAAACAAAAACATATGGTAAAACAGAATACGGCAGAAACAACAGTAAAAAGAAAAAATCACTACCAGTATAAACAATAAAGAATCCAATAAAGAGGCATCAAAAAACCCGAAAAAAAAAAAAGAAATTAAAAGCACAACAAATTGCTCAAAAAACACACAATTTACAAAGAAGAATGGGTATGCTGGTGCTTATAAGCAAAAATGAAATTATCTGTAACAATTACTGTTTTTTTCTTTTCTCTATTCAAAGTAGATAATCATAACATTACAGTACAGAGCACATAAAGAACAAATAAAAAAAAATAGCAAATCACAAGAAAACAAAAAAAAAAAAAACAAATGAAAACAACATACCCAGTAAAGATAGAAATACACCAACTATGGGTGTAAGTCTATATGTGTGTATAAACAATTATAAATATAAATTCATCTGTTATTATTATTTTTTTTTTCTTTCATCACAACGCAAAAAGCAGTTCATCATTATCATCACAGTGCAAGCCCAGGCACACAGAGAGTCTCCAAAAACACACACACAATACCCCATGGCTCTAGTTGATGTTTAAAACTACTGCACACACACATGTGTGTGTACTAGCAAGATATGTATACCGTCAGTGAGCAGAGAAGCCCAGGTTTCTGCACACACACAACGGGAAAAGCAAGTAATAGAATTATTAAAAAAAGAACACACACACAGATAAAAGTAAAAAATAAAAATAAAATAAAATAACCTCAAGAGCAGCACAGAATAGAAAAAATAATGGATAAGATAAATAAGTTTTTCTTTTATTTTTTCCTCATCCATAAAAGTAGTAGTACACCCTTTTCATTTTCATGTTGTGGCTTCGGGCCATTTCCT